AATTAGGGAATAATTAAATCCATGTGCATATTTTTGAATCTACAGTTTAATAGAGAAGTATCTTGTCATCAGTGGGGCTAAGTCTTTGAAGAATATAAACGTATTAAATGTCTTATTTCTATTTAATATCTTTTATAAATTTTCACGTGCGCCTACATGTTCCCATTCAATACTTTGAAAGTTATTTTTGTAAAATACAGTGTACTTTGAAACTATTGCATTACATCCTATAGAAAATTGAAAAGACTTTTAAAATTTTTTTCAAGTTAATAAAAAAATTTTAATTCAAAATTCAGATATCCCAATTTGCATTTTGAGAATTTTATATGGTGAGTTTTGAATCAGACTGTGTTTGACTGTATTGTTTTAAATGTTTTTGCTAAAAGAATGACAAAACAATTACTGTTGACTTGTTTTGTGATTTGGCAAAAATTCATGCAATAACTAAAAGTTGTGTCATAATTCAGTATGTTTGTGTCATAATTCATTTTTTTTTTTATCATAATTCCTTTTAAATAAGTACCTTGTCCCAGTGTTAGGTTAAATAATTCATATATAATAACAGTCACAGGTGTTTACAATTTGTTTACCTATAAATGAAATGAAATCATTTCTTTATTACCTACTAAATGTTAATGATTTTGATTGGGCTTCCCATATCCAGTGCATTTTTACAGTAAAAACAGACTGAGGTGTAGTACAGGTTTACAAACTAAACAACATTGCCAAGTCTAGTACAAACAAAGCTAAAAAAGACAGTCTAATTGACAACACCTGTACATTAAGAATAAATCACAATTTCAATATCTGAATATTTATCCTTTACAGGCCTTACAGACAGCAGTACTCACAGCACAAAATATCATAGACTGTCCTATTGATATAGAGCCGTAGATGTTAGACAAGGCCTGGAACTTGCCCTCCTGGTCGGCACACTCTATGTAGTACTGTTTGATATTGTCCAGAGACTGCTCCTCCCGCCGGAGTCGAATCACAATGGGGTTGTTAGGAATCACAGCCTGCGCAAATCTCATCACTTCATCCTCGTATGTCGCAGAAAATAACAACATCTGACAGTCCTTCCCTAATCCCCTGAACAAAAATAATAAGCGTCAATTCTTGAAGTACTTCCCTGAAATTTTTAAGATGATGTATATGTTTTTCATTTAAAGACCCATCAATTTTAAATGATAAGGACATACTGTAGACAGGGTTATTTTCGCCCCGCTTTATTTTCGCCTGTTCACACGTGCAAACAATTTTGACCTGTTTTAAATTCGCCAAGTCACAGTTTTGTTTAAGAAATTATACTGTATTCTTTGAATTCTTCCCGTTTTAAATTCACCCAAGGTTAGGGCAAAAGGCGCGAAAATAAAACAGGGACAAAAATTTTCCCTGTATATAGTATGACCTTATATAAAGGTCGTCCAACTGACCTTTGGATTCTGATGGACTCCTGCAAGTTGACTCGCACAAGTTAATTGAGCTTTTTCATACATCGATCTGGACACCATATCTTATATTCAGTTTATTTTGCTTTTTTTAAGAGAGAAAAACTGATTGAATATTATATGTCTCCATGCTCGGTTAAAAAATAAAGTGTATATTGCTTTTCCTGTATATATTCAAGTTGGCACTAATGGGATTCCGTACATATTTTTATTAAAAGCAGCATTGCAAACCTGGATTCTATGATGAATTTTAGCACACTAGCTGCAGTGGTCAGAGTTATGAAGTAATTTGTTTAAAGATTCCCACAGCAAATCTTGATTCTAAAAATAGATTTTTCAAGTACACTAGCTGCAGCTGATGAGAGCTTCAGGTGTTTGTGTTAGGAAGTATTCTAGGTCAATTATAAATAAACTTCAGATGGGAAGATTAGATCCACCTATTACATGAACATATATATTCATACGCAGTAATTGTACATCGTACAAATATTTAATCAAAAATTTCTTTAAAAGCATGAAGACATAAATAATGTAACAGTATGAAATTTTATACAGTTTTTACCTTCTAAGTTTACACAATCACTCAAACAAAAGCATGTTTTGCTAGAACTATCATATTTGGCGTATGGTTTGCCTTGTTGAATGCGTGAAAAATTTTACAGTTCTGAAACGTCTATGTCAACAAGGAGTAGCTCGCTACGCGAGCCAACTCAAAAAATTAAGCTGGGTATTCTTTCTTTTACTTATTAATTCAATAATACTCTCACCTAATTTGCCATAAATAAGATGATATTAAAGGAAGTGCATAAAGAGATTATCCATGTCTCACATAAATTTCTGCAATAGTTATAGCCCGTATAAAAAATATCAATTGATTAAAATCCTTGCAAAATATACACTAGACGTGCTCCATTTGCATCTTACCTTTTCAAGCATCCAGTATTTACTCGTGTTGATAAAAAAATTAATTGCTTTTGTGTCTTTTTATAAATTTTTAAACAAATGCATAATTGTTACATTGTAATAATAACATAACCCCCCCCCCCCTTCCAGAAGAAGCAGGAAATTACACCGACCTCAGCTATACATCCATAGAATCCATTCTGAACCTCCACATCATCTGGAACTTTCTTGTCTGGATCCACTCCTCCCAAGTATAACCTGGTTCTCAGATCCAGACCAATGTAGGTCCCCGGAGAGGCATCTGTAAGTAAGCCAAAAATCACAGTTACTTAGTGAATTACTTATTGTTACTTATGGTAAAGACACGTCAGTTTAGGCTGACATTCAAAAACAGTATTTGTTGTAATTATAGTATTTATACTTCAATATCCTATATAAGTAAGAATCACAACAGTTACATACTGTATATTTACATTTCATAAAAAGTAACTTGTAACTAAAATGTAGCAATTTTAAACTCTAAGCAATGACTGAAATCAAATATATTATCATGTAAGAGGAAGAGGGCAAAAAATTCATTGCACATATGAAAATAATGATTTACCAAGAAGTCAAATAAAAATTTCAACTAAACTGAAAATACCATTTTACCTAAATTTTACTTTATGGCAATGACAGTACATGTTCTTAATTTATTTCTAAGAATTTTAATTTATTTGTGAATTAGAGACCAGTTTTATGATATATTCTTTATTTCATGCAAGCATTGGGTATATATTTTACAGGCAGGCATTTCTCAACAGTGAATGGAAATTGAAATAAAGCATTAAATACATATTCAAGGTGAAACCAGAATCCTATCACAATAGTTATTTGTTAAGTTGTAAAAACAACAAATTTAAATCCAAAAATTCTAAAACTATGTTAAATCAATTGCTGTACCTAAAAACATGCATAACTTTGACCGTTTATAAATATAATCACCATACATCTTACAAGACATACACTGATTTCCTCCATTACCTGACGATGAAATTAATGGCTTTTTACGGAATCTTCCAAATGAATGATGAATCAAAGAAGATGGACAGGACCACAGTGTTCAATATCTCAATAACAGTAAGCGAAAAAGAGCACAGTATGTATGAAAAGCACAAGTTGTACAATGTGTACGAGTGATGAGATGTGAAAAATACAAAATCGGCAAGTGAGCGTATGATCCACGTGTTGGCTGAAGGTTAAAAACTGACAAAGAAAGGAAAAATGGTCTCCAGAATGTTTAGACACATGCAGAATAATGCCACCCAGTACAACTGCCAAAAAACAGCAATGCTGGCAAACAAAGAGCAAACTAGCAACGCCAAGCCTCCTGTGCAACTTGTTTTACCTCGCCTGTATCGATATCGTCTACGCAAATAATAGTTGTAGTAGTTGTTGCGCAAATTGTTGGTGTAACTCCAGGGCCAAACTAAAGTCAAAGTAGTGTTTGATTAAATGAGACAAGTTATTAGCCGTTATCACCCTTGACAGTGAAAAAAAGCATTTGTTTGAAACCCTTACTTTAACTGTTATTAATGATTCTAGAAATAATAACAGCTAGAATACAGCTAGTAACAAAACAAGTTTCTGTAATCTTAATTCAAATCTTGAATTCTTTTATTAATTTCGAAAATAATCTTTGTCAATTTTATCTGTAGATGTCAAAAGTTGTACAAGAATGTAAAAATGTACATGTTCTGTAATAATCTGAACAGTTCATATAATGACCATGGCCTGTAATAGAAAAGCTATACACGTCAACATGCCAATCAAATATCAGTATATGGCTCAATCAAGTCACTGCAAATAGTTTATACACTTATATACAAAGCTTTATTCATGTATGTTTTTTTTTTAAAGAAAACAATTATATTTCAACTTCCACTGAAATTTACTAATTTCATAAACCTAATCACTGACTTATCAGTAAAAAATAAGGACAGAAATCAGTAAAAATATTAATTATCTATGCAAAACTATAAATCTAAATTGTCCTGAACTTTCTACAGTTACTGCTATTCTGTCTAATGACATACTACTCCTAACTAATCTCTGTAAGAATGTAAGACTTGAGGTGTACTTGGTTATGTTTACGAGGCGGCAAGTCTTGTATTGTTCGCTCATGCAGGACGAGCAGTCTCGGACATGCCCAGAGTTACGTACCTTTGACTGGTTCCCCATTGTTAATGACAAGGCTGCCCTCCTGTCCGGACTTTGTTGCGGTGATTTTGACCCAGTCACCAGACACCAGTTTCTTTTTGCTCTTCATCACTGCTGGACCTAGTCAACATAGTATTATCTATTAATGATAAAGTACAATGACATGGTCAGATGGTTAACAAATTTTAACTTAAAACTTTTACCTGTTGTGAACCCTTCTTAATAAAACAAAGAAAATAATAAGAAAAAGCTACTGCAGTTAATATGAGATATGACACACAAGTTGAAGTTGTTAAAATATCCTAATGTAAAACAAGTAGGCTACTTTATGTACGTTGTTTGTAGTTACATCTTCATGATACATGTAGAAAACTAAACCAAAATGTACTTTGATAAAATTTCAGTGATTCTTGTACAAAGCTACAACAGAGATAATTCTTCAGTGATACAAGTAGGAAAATACTACACAACAGATTATTTCTAAATGTTTTTCAAAAGACCAGTCTGAGATCAGAAGACTTTATTTTACCAGATCCAGTGTTGTATCTAAACTCCAGGTAGCCATCTTTGATCAGGATGACCACGTAGTCCCCAGATCCATCCTCGTTCTGTCCACTGTACAACACCAGTCCATTATCAAGAGACTGGGGTTTGATCTCCATTTCAATCTTCATCTGGAAGCGGGCATTTCTGATTGGATCGTACGATGAAAAGGAAGACCCATTGAACTGTGGGTAAAGGACCTGCACAGCTGTAAAGAAAGGTAAAAAAAATTCAACCTAAAATTTTGAATCACTAAAATAATAGGAGTAACTTTTCTGATAATGTTGTTTTGTTGGCATTTGGGGAGAGAGAGAAAGAGAGGGAGAGAAAGAGAGATCTTACTCTGTGAGCAGCCTGAACCAATCCTTCCCATTGGACAGATACACTGGTGGCCCCCAGCTACATCCCGACATCTTCCTCCTGGTCCACAGATTCCTAGCACAACAATAATCAAATGAATAATCACAAAACCAATCTTTTTTTTCATTAATGTAGAAAAGGCTTTTCAATAAATTGACTACTAATATCATTTGAAAATAACAAAATGCTCATATATTTTCTTTAAAGTTCTTCCCTATTCAGTCTACTGATACATTATCATTTAAATGTTCAAAGAACTCTTTTGACACCCCCACCCCTATGACATACCTGGATAGCAGCCACTTCCTGTGATTTCACATTTACTTCCTGTGAACCCAGCTGGACAGTCACACTTGTAGCCGTACTTGGAATTGGCCGGCAGACATCTTCCTCGGTTCAGACATGGTCGGTCTTTACAAGCGTTGTACGGTTCTATCCCCTTCAGCTCGATGGCATCAGCTCCCAGGTTCAGGTCCTTACCATTAATGATCACCTGACTCACAGCACCTGGTGGAAGACAGAGCAAAGAAATTATAGTATTGGTCTGCTAGTACAGTAAAACTTATCTTATTATCCTGACACCACAGGTTTCAAAGGAATTGGTGGGATATTTAAGGCAGCATCCCAGATAAGACAACATTATTTTTTTTTCAAAAAATTGAATTTACTGAAAGGGACTTAAATTTCAATCCATTATATTGGAAAGGATTTCGGACTACACATCATCCAGTTTAGACAAGTTTTACTGTTCATATACATTTGCATCAATGAAAGAGACTGTCATTGTGATAATCTAAATGTTACAGAGAATATTTACCAACAAATCCAGATGAGTGTCTGGCTGGCTCTGGTACCTTGTTGGGATCTGGTACATTACCCAGATACATGTTCTGACCCAGATCCAGACCGCTGAACTGTCCCAGGGAAGATCCGGTGTACACTGGCTCATCATTCACCTCCATACTTCCTGTAAAGTGTCAAATAACAGACGTCAAAAAGATTCAACAGACAGCACACATAACTTTAGTAGGCAAAATTTAGTTTTCATGTAAAAATCATGACTTTAGAAACTTATTTTATTCTGAATAAAAATTTCTTTGAACAGTGCATGCTTGAAAGTTTTTGAACATCAGTTAAACTCACCAACAGAATTTTCTCTCTTGAGTTTGATGGTATTCCATTGGTTCAGAGGAAGAGTCCGGTTGCCCTGTATCAGAGCCGGTCCAGAACCAACATCAAAAGTGAATTCTGGGTAACCTCCTCTCATTCCAAGACAGACATAGTCTCCTCGGGCATTATCATATTGTCCATTGTACAATACCAACCCTAAAAAGTCAACAATGCAGTCATTTCTTTTCATCCAAACTGCAATTTTTTAAAGTAGAAAGTAGCTAGATTTACTACATTCTCTCTAGATTCAGAATAAAATTGCAAGCAAGATCACAGCAGCAAGCCTAGCTTCAGATTATTTGTAGACTTAATGGGTGTAGCAAATTCCATTTATAAAAAAACAAAATTATCCATCCTTGGAACTTCATGGTGTGTTTTACTTCGGAAAACATGTGTTCATACAGTCTTTATCTAGCCTTGCAGCTAGCAGAGAATGAAAATTGCTTCACTGTAAGCATCAATTTGTTATAACAGTGTTAATTTTAAGGGTGTTTTACTGTAGCAGTAGGCCACAATCTTGAAGCAGCTCTGATTACTTACCATCTGTAGTTTCCGGTCTCATTGAGAGTAAAATCTCAAAGTTGATGTGGTGATCTTCAATGGGTGGATAGCTGATGTAAGATACTGGCTCTTGATCAAAGTATGGAACCAGATCTGTGTAACACCATACAAGGACATTAATTATTTCATGTTTATTATAAGAATGCAGAAAGTATTACCCGGTAATTCTTTATTAGGAAATAAATCTTATTTCAAGAAACAGCTATAAATGTTTAATCATTGAATTATATCGATAATATTTTGTCTTTGTTTACTGTAAATATCTCTTACATCTCTCTGCATTGTGTTTTTCATATTATAATGAAAGATCGGTGAAATACTACATTACCAGTAATTATATTCAAAGTAGAAAGAATGAATGGAAAAGAAAGCAAGCACTGCTAAATTATAGATTATGTCATTGTGTTTTTTGATTAAAATAAAAAGTATATTGAATAAAGCTATATGGCTATATAAATATCAAATATGGTAACTAAAGCCTTGAAATATGAAGAAAATTTTCTAATATAATACCTACAGCAATATGAAACATATCAATCAGTCGATCATGTACATTTATCTAAAAGTGTGCAACATCTTTATGGTGAAAGATGTATTGTATATTCAATAACATCTAAAACAAAAAAATATCTCTCTCTAATTTCAATAACATCAAGCATCTCAGCTTGTGAGTTTGCTATTAAGGTAAGTAAGTGTACAGTATATGAACTTACTTATTTTACATAAATATACAAGTGTACATTAAGTTGCATATTGTCAGACTAGCAGTGCATTACTCTTAGCCATACCTACATTGTATACTTATAAGTAAAATCCCATCCACTTGACAACACTAACCATACATACATACAGCAACTAACATACAACAAATAAAATTAAAAGACTATACCCCCGACGGTAAGGTTATAATCTTTTTCATTTTGACCGAAGTCATTCTGGGCTTGACAGACATAAGTGCCCTGGTCTCCTTGGTAAAGTCGAGGAATCTCCAGTTTTCCATTATCTACCGTGTAATCTCTGAAAAGTACAGACAACAGTAAGAAAAAGGGAAGACAACTCCATACTTCCTGTCCTTCCTGTGTAGAGGGAGCACCTGTTGCAAAGCTGATCAAAGGTGAAAAAAGCATGGCATGGATCCAGTGACTGGAGTGAATAGTGTTCACTTTCCTCAAACTATAATCATAATATTAATTTGGAAACATTGACAAAATTTTTAATTGTAAATCCCCCCCCCCCAAAAAAATAAAACATTAAACTAAAATTAACCCCCTTTTCACTTGAGATCTTTGTGTTTTATTAATGCAATAATGCACAAATATTATGCAATAATGTCTCATTTGCAATCACTGAATCCAGGACCCAGCAAGCATTGATACACAGCAAGCGACAGATTGAGGCATGTGCGACCTTACCCCCTACTACCAGATTGGTGGAATGCTCATTTTTGCCCACATCATTTTGTGCATTACAAATGTATGTGCCTGCGTCTTCTGGTCTTAAGCGATTTATTTTCAATGCTCCCTCATCGACTGAGTATTCTCTATAAATCAAGCGATAAGCACAGAGCTTGGATTATTTTCATAGTGGTTCTCATATAATTTCATCAGAAATCAACAAACTTTATATGGAAAATAATCTTAAAGTACTTTTTTCTAAACAAATAAAAAGCATAGGCCTTAGAATATTTCTAGCAAGTTGAAATATCATTTAGTCCTTCTTTTCTACCTAAAAAATTGGAAAAATAATTTTGAAAAGGATTTATTTGAAAAATTATGAATGAAATGTGCCTTTTGCTCAATGGTGAAAAGCATTGCATGGGGGGTGTTTTTTTTTAATGAAATCATTGCTAAGAATGCAAATGATTTTTAAAAAAAGATTTACATTGTGTTAAAATACGCTATAAAATAAATGATGATGAATACTACACTCAAGGAGATTGCAGGCTTTTTCATGCCTATAAATACAATTGTAGTTTTGAATTTGTTCAGCAAATTTATCATGCTTAAGATTTGTGATGAAATGAATACATTGTACTAAAATCTGATGAATGCATTTTTCAAAATAAACGACATGAAGTTTTGCTTAATGTTTTCACATTTATTGCTTTTCTGCCTTTTTTTATGGCCCAAGACAAACTTGGTCTTTTAATTTGTCGCTAAGAAATAATTAAAGTATATAACTATTAATTGTACATCTCAGTTCAATAAATATTTATTTTTAATAATTCAATATATTATTCAAATATTCTTTATTGGAAAAAAAACAATTTGGTGCTGTTGATCTAGGAAGTATTACAGATATAAATACCTTGGCATGTTTCCTCCCCGTTTGTACCAGCTGATCTCTGGTTGGGGGTACCCCACAGCTTCACAGGACATGGAGGTGCTGGACCCCAGGGCTGCTGTCAGGGACTCACTGGCCCCAGTTATGATGGGCTCACCTGTATTGAAAAGTGACAATAATCATACACAACCTGACATCGCCACATTTTTATATATGCGTAACAATCTGGAATATGTATTACTGTAGATTCCTTAATTTACATGAATACTTCATACATATAAAGCAAAATGACTTGTAGATGTCCAATCATGAGGAATTGAATTTGGAAGTATACTGTTGATCACAGGTGTTTACATACATTTCAGCTACATATCAGCGTACAAATAAAAGCAAGTGGTGCTCCTTGAGAAATTACACAATATAAGTAAACTTCTGTGTATACTAGTAATGTACATTTCACAATCTACAGTAATTTCTTTGCCAATATTCACCTACCTCTTACAAACAGGGTGACTCTTGTCTCAACCTTTCCTACGATATTCTCTACAGTACAAACATAGGTTCCGGCATCTTCCAGCCTGACAGACTGCATGACCAGGAAGGCATCGTTAACACTGGCATAGGGGGAAATAGGACCCTCCAATTTAGACCATCTGACCGTAGGCAGAGGGGAGCCTGTTAAAGAGTGTTTATCTTAAAAAGCTACAGATGTATAACAAATACAGGTGGACATCCAACAGAAAATGAATAATTTACAAGTAACTCATTTGCTTTATTCGAACACAAGTAATTCCAAATAAATTGGCCAGTTTAGGCAACATACCAGTGTAGACAACACTGAAAGGGACTTTATATTACGCAAAATTTTAGATTAATACATAACATTTGGATTAGACAAGATTCACTGTATCAGCTTGATTGTACCAAAGAAAGAAGAACTATACCTGTTGTGACACATTCCATTTCTACCCTTTCTCCCACGTCAACATATTGTGTGTCATACTTTATAGAACCACCACCATTAACTATAAAATACAGAAAAACATTTTTAAAATAGTGAATAGTGAAAGCAACTCACAAACTGGTTTTAATAAAATTGCAAAAAAATCTGTTTTTATAGACTGATTGCATTCCATGACAAAGAAACCAATTTCAATGTGAAGCGGTATGCAACGCTGGACCTGATTGGACAGTAACCATGATGTAGTCCCTGGCAGACCCAGCGGTACTCCTGGCATTACAGATGTAGCGGCCCTGATCCTCACTCCTCACATTGTATATACTGATAATAAAAACATACTTTGTTAGTACTCAGTGCTGTAGTGCATTTGGAAATATCCTTGACATATGTTGAAAGTCAGACTTGTTGATGTTAAAATTGTTATCATTTTTAACATCTTTCAAAGTACTGAAATAATTTTAACAACATTTAATGCAAATTTTTGTTTCCAAATGAATTTTAACATCTTTCTGACTACCCCAATAATTAAAACAATACTTGCTTCAAAGCACATTAACAATATTACCATGTATGTTTTATTTTAAATTGACATTCTTACGTCAGTATATCGTTCCTGATGTCAGAGTTGGAGGGGAGAGCCCCGCCCTGCTTCTCCCAGGTGACCTGTGGCTGTGGGGTCCCGGTAATCTGACACTGAAGTATGACAGTCTCACCCTCACGTACAGTCCTGTCTCTGTTAGCAACAACTATTGTGGGGGGCACTGCAGAGGAGGAAAAAAGGACAATTAAATCATATTATAAACAAAACCAGAGTGACTCATACTTTATTCTATCTTATTTCATATCAAGTGCAACAGTACATAGTTTCCAGGATTACTTCATTGCCTCATCTCATTTTCCCCCAAATTTTACCACATTTTAAATTCACCCATGCACAATTTCTGTTTAGGAGATGTTTTCTTTGCCCCATTTTAATTTGCCATATTGTGATGAGGGTAAAAGGGCTATAATAAAATGGAGGGGAAAAATTTCCTTGTTTAAGGTACCTTGCACTACAACAACAGCAATGCCATCTGAGGATCCTGCAGAATTGGTCGCCACACAGCGGTACCGTCCAGCGTCCGCCGCCGTCACTGCCCGGATCTCTAGGATTCCGTCCACAGTCTGGGTGGCCGAGGGGGACAGTGCCCCTCCCAGCTTGATCCATTCAATGTTAAATGGTCCCTGACCCTGGGGTTGACATCGGAGCTGTACTGTCTGCCCTGCCCTGGCCTCTACTTCAGCTGGTGAAATGCTCAACTTGGGGGTCACTGCAATATTAGACTTTTTTATCATTATGACATTACATTTGCTGATTTATTTTATCTACTTAGCAAATTAGAATGATAACCAAGGAAAAAAGACATTCCTTACATTTTAGGATATATTTCAGATATTTATGTTTATCTTTATTGTTTTTTCTGTAAGAATTTTTTAAATGTAAATTGTATGCATCTCCAAACAATTGGTCAAACTTCTTGCCTGTTACAATGATGAAAACGGAGGTCTCGTAATTTCTGACTGGCGTGGTGGCAGTGCAGATGTATTCCCCGGCATACTCTCTCTGGAAGCGAGGAATGTATAGGGTTCCTCCCTGAATGCTGTGATTGGGGGGCAAAGGACCCTCCCTCCTCCTCCACTGGACAACAGCATTAGTAAGTCCTAAAGAAAGAAGCAATACTGAGAATCTAACAAGAAAATCAACATTTTTCTTTTTTTATTTACACATAATTTGCTTGAAAGCAATGCATATTCTAACCAGAAGTCTCTGTCGAGACTGTAGCTCTACTGGTTTGTACTTATAACAAAGGATGAGAAAAGAAGTCATTGCCATTAGCCTAAAACTGTAGAAGGAGTAGAGTTTTAAAGGAATTTCAGACATTTCTATTTTTAGTAACAATGGCAACACCGTTCATCGAAATCAAAAACATGCACTATTCTATGTATTTTAGTGTTGTCTACTTGTGTGCCAAGTAATATTGAAATCAGATCAAAATTGTAGGAGGAGCAGCGCTGTTAAAGGAATTTCACAGAAAATTCTATTTTTAGTAACCATGGCAACACTGTTCATCGAAATCAAAAATCGATGCACTATTCTATGTATCTTAGTGTAGTCTACTTGTGTGCCAGGTTATATTGAAATCAGATAAAAACTGTAGGAGAAGTAGCATTTTAAAGAAATTTCACAGAAAATTCTATTTTTAGTAACCTGACAACAACATTCATCGAAATTGAAATCCTATGCACGATCTTATATATCTTAGTGTAGTCTACTTGTGTGCCAAGTTATATTGAAATCAGATCAAAACTGTAGAAGGAGTAGCGTTTTAAAGGAATTTCACAGAAAATTCTATTTTTAGTAACCATGGCAACACTGTTCATCGAAATCAAAAATAGATGCACTATACTATATATCTTAGTGTAGTCTACTTGTGTGCCAAGTAATATTGAAATCAGACCAAATCTGTAGAAGGAGTAGCATTTTAAAGGAATTTCACAGAAAATTCTATTTTTAGTAACCATGGCAACACGGTTCATCAAAAGACTTGCCTTGTGTTTCACATCTCAGAGTCACTGACTGTCCTTCTGTGGCAGCCAATCTCTCGGGACCAGTAATAGTAACTCCAGGCACGTTAGGGTTTTCCTCGCGCACTACAAACACAGTGTATACAGTAAGACCAAATTCTCATAGACAAAACAGAGTGTACTGTACATGTACATTATTTGGCTTATTCAAATTTAGCGCTATCAATCAATATTGATTTATTGGCGAAATCATGAATTAGCGCTACCCATTTTCATGCTGTATATTCTATTTATAAATGAATTCTTAGCAGTATTCATAAATTAGCGCATCCTCGTCTGCGCCATAGCTGCTAAAATATGAAGCCCGCCATTTTAAGTACCGTACACATTCAGTATACAGTAAAAGCAAACTCTCATAGACATATAACAGTGTGTGCAGTAAAACCAAAATGTCAAGGACAGCATGAATTATGTATGCCTTGTAGATAGAGAATTACCGAGATGTTTATCATTACATACAGAAATCAATAAATACAGTCAAACCTCCATATCCCAAACTCCATGGGAACAAAAAAATCTTCAAAAAATGCAAGGATTCAAAAAACAATGTTTCAGGGGGGAAAAGAATTCAGGACTTATAAATCACACTGACATATCCAAAGTATTCAGGATATCAGTGTTTTACATATTGAAGTACAACTGTAAACTGATTATTTATTGATTAACTGATTATTTACCAATAATCTGGGCAGTTTCCTCCACAGATCCTGCATCGTTTGTGGCGACACACACATAGTTGCCACTGTCGCCATTAGAGATGGATTCTATGGTGAGTGTGGCTGAGCCTGGGCCGAGATCAGCGTCCAGTGAGGCGGGCAAATCTCCTCTGCTGGGAGTCGACTCATATCGCCAGTAAACGCTCGGCGTTGGGACTCCCTGAGCGACACATTCTAAAGAAACTCTCTGTCCAACAACTGCATACACCGTTCTGCTGGGTTGAATGAGAACTTTTGGTGGTCCTAAATGAGATCATAAATATTTCCATTTCCATCATGTTCTAAACCTAATTCCGTCTGATCAGTGATTTGCAGAAAATTAGTACTTTATAAAATGCCACGAATCGTAGAAAAATTCTTGCAGGAAAAACATCTACTGTACATTAATTTTGATCTTTGAATTTAATCTAAAAAATTAAGATAATGTTTAATCCATTTTACAGTTATTTGTACAGATCATGTATGAAAGATGCACATATCCAAAGGATTTTAAAAAGGAGTTTAAAAATACATCTATTTTATTCAATCAAATGGATAAAAGGACCATATATGATAAGAGCCAATTTTGGCCCCCCTAAAATTAACATTTTAGAATTATATTCAGATATGTTTAATTGATATTTATTTTGTAGAAGAGATTATATTAGAAATATTTCCAATATATTTTTCACATTCATATGCACTCACTGGCTGTAAATAAAATGATTAGTAATGCTATTTTTGCTATCTAACAAAAAACCCCCCAAAATATGCCTTTTTCTTTATGTTTTTAGCCAGGCTCATTGCTCGTAGAGCAATGCCCGGCTATTGCGACGGTGAGCAACAGGAAATCTGCTTCTTCACCGCCAAATTGAGTTTATGAGTAAAAATATAATATGTACGCCGCTGTTGAGAAAACAAAATCCATTCAAACACCTTAAGAAATAGTAAATCGAATGTTTTTATCAAAATATTAAATTGTTTGATATTTTTCCTGGCTCCTTTGACTAATATTTTACAAAGCAATTCAAAAGGTGCGAAAGGTTTTCATCAGGTATCCCTGTCTGCGTCATATTCTATAAATAAAGGTTGTACTATCAGGCTAACACAAATGCAGGGAACATCATTAATGACTTGATGCAAAACTCCCCGCTGAGGACACATCAGGGCATAATCTTTTGACCTTAATTAATCTTGCTGCATCGGTGTTTTACTTCTGTTTGTATATAAAACCCCAAAACGATACATGTGATAAATATTTTACGCTGTTAATTTCTAGCTATATTTTATTTAATTTTTAAAACTTTTTAATACTATACATGCCATTGAGATATTTTTGTGTGTAACATAACCTCGAAACGTCTGAACTTGATTTTAAACTGTCACCACAGTCTTTGTTCATTACCCTGCAAATGAGCCCGGCTTTCAGTACTTCTGAGTACTTTGATTTTCTTATGGGAAACATAGAGCGCAGTGTAGAACATACATAATTTTTCTGTCACTAATAAGTATTGGATAGATACATCTTTGGTAAAATGATAAAGTTTGTTCTAGGCTTTATATTTTCTGAAAGAAAAACTGCTTGAAAATAAGCAGTTTTATACAAAATATAAGAAAATGGCGACAAAACATGAACTTTATGTCATATTTCTAAAATAATGGCATTTTGATCAAATTGAAAATGACCAATAAAGGTCGCATGTATAGCTGAACAAATTAAAGCTATATATAAAGTAAAATTAAGATATTCCTTTTAAGGGGCCACATACATGTTAACCTATTGTGATGAAAAATAGGGAGATTCAGACCTCAAAAGCGGTAGCATTGCGCGCGTTGTTTAACGCTTGGATTATCGATATCTTTCATGTAATATACATGTATATTATAAGCCTTAAATGAAATCAGGTACCTACACTAATTAATCTTAAATATCAAAGCAAAGAAGAAGACAGAAACACCTTAAGTTTGACATAAATTGTACAAATTCAAATATCTTTCATGCTCATCATGTTGCTTGGATTGGCTACTTTACTTAGCCTTTTGAAGAGTGATCTTTGCTGATATAGCCTAGAAGCAATAATTCTGAATGTTCATTCAGTTTTTAAACAAAACAAATGATGCCATGGTTTAATCTTATCTAGATCTAAAACAAGTTCCTATCTTTCGTTATATAAATCAGATTTCCCGCGATGATCGAAAACGAAAGTAGAGATGTGCCATATGGCTTGGTCAATCGAGTGATTTCTTATGACTTTATTGATAAAGTTGTGAGCTTCTGTGCTTTTAAAGACGATGTCAAATGTTTTCATCTAATTCTTAAAAGCTGTATCTCCTTTTTCATGGCAGGGATGTTGATTAATTTATCGTAACCAATGTAATCACTGGTAGTCTTGTGTTGTTGTCGTTGTCAAATCCGTGCTTGAAATCTATGTACAAAAAAGCGTTTGTATGATTCCGAGTCAAATCACGCGATATCTAGCGAGATTTTATGAGAGTGGCTTCAAAAATGGATACCCAAGCGAACCAAAAATACTTTAGACGCAGCTTTTGTAGAAAAGCGGTAGATTTCTGAATTAAATCGGTAGGCGGGAGATGGAGTGAAAAAGCGGTAGACTCCCGCCTAAATCGGGAGAGTTAGGTGCTTTTTATGAGTCCAAATTTGCCGCTCAATAATACATCCCTAATAATGGAAGTGATTTGAAACAAAGGGACGCAATAACTGATACACAGATCCAGCAGCCATGATGTTTGTTTACATGAGGTAAGATCGAGCTTCTGTTTGAAGTTAAAGGCACATTTATTAAATCTGGATTTTTTTTATGAATCCCATAGACTGGAAATGAGAGGATTGCATGGATACAGATGATTCAGCTGGTTGTCAAGGGGTGTGTCCCCATACCAAACCAGGTTATCAAGAAATGGTTTGCGTTCCTTTTTGGAAATCAACCAATGAGAGGCGAGAATAAAAACAAAATTGAATTATTATGTATTTAACTCTTTTTGATACTTTATTAAAGTTTATTTACCTTTTAACCGTCCGAAACAGTCCTGTATATAGTTTTGTAATGTCGGTTTAAAAGAGTTCCATTTCGACGTCCGTAACCACAAACATTCATTTGTTAGCGTTGAAAGGTAAGAAAATTATCAGGATTGAAGTTAAATGTATGATTAATTATTAAATGCCATTTAAAGCTGGCGACTTTATAAAATACAAGAAAAAAATACCCAAAGTGAGCGACAAAAAATCGTGTGCGTAAATCGAAGGTTTTTACAACACTTGGATCTGTAGCTCTCTGCTTTATCTGTCCGAAATTTCTCAATCAGAGAGCTCTTCAGTTCTGCAGCTAGAATTTAAGTAACTGCAGAATTGTACAGTTATGGTTTTATATATAGTGGACCCTCATTTATCCGGACGCTTTGGTCCCCAGTTAATTTGTCCGGATATGTGAAGCATCCGGATATCTGAATGCCCAATTAAACAAGACAGAATAACATTTAAAAATTTCGTTCCGATGAAAAATCGTCCGGATACTGAAGCATCCGGATATCTGGCGTCCGGATATCTGAAGGTCCACTGTATTAGTCTTTGACCATAATGCTACAAATCCTGTAATGCAAAATAGGTGCAATTTACAGCGCAAGCTTTTTTGCGCACTGCTGGGGAGAGTTTTTCCATTTTACAGCATTGATCAATCAACTACCTTTCATTCTCTAATTTTAGAAACATTCTTAACAGGTGAGGTCTGGATGATTTCCAAATATGGAAGTCAAGAACAATAACTGAAATTTGCTATAAATATACATCATATACACATAAATATTTTTTTATCAACAGACAGCAGTTTTTTACACACCCCAAAACAATCAAAGGAACAAAAAGACAACATGTTATTTTGTTTTTTCTTCAAAAAAGATTCAAGAAGTAAAATGACAAGTTTGGAAGAAAAAGGTATATTCCCCACATATTTACCCTGAACAAACTTTATATTTTCATCGTGAAAAAAAAAATAGATAAATGCATGTAACAACGCGATTGTTTAGTTTACGAAGGAACAGATCAGACTGTCAAGTTATTATCAATTATATTTATAGATTAATAACATTTGCATTACATACCCTATGTAAGTAACAATAATTTTGCTTAGCTGTCCGATTTCCAACAACATTGCGTAGGTTTCATGGGTATAGGTCAGTTGCATACACATGTTCATCGTAAAGACCGTAGTTATAAAATATCACGGGTTTCATGAGCGCTGAATACAATGTTATAAACACTAAATGGACACAAAAAAATGTGTTAAACATTGAGAAAAGTGAATTTAGATTGATGCTTTTTCACCATAAATTACCGTTACCATGCATACCAGAAACTGGACGATTTTGTAATAAACACTCAGGAAATAATTAAAATGTTAAAAATATTCCTATCCGAAAATATTTTCATACCAGGTTCTAAAAACTGATAATCTGCTGTATTTGTATCAAATTTCTTAACACGAGTTAAGCTTTTGGGATAGCTACCTCTTATTGACAGATTTTATATCCCACTTAGAATTTATTCTAACCTTTCAAGTCGGGTTTGTTAAGGTAGAATTGTCATTTATGCTGTATGTTTCATTCCTAAATATGCATAAAGTTTAGAAAAAGTTTGTCCTAAAAAAATCTTTTGAGCAGAAAAGTTTAAAACCACGTGTTTTATTTATTTTCTGATGGGTTTGTCTAAATGCTGTTATCTGATTGGACAGGAGGATAAGCACCTTGTTTATTCTGTGCATTTATAGCAATTCACGGTTATCATTCTTGACTTCCATATTTGGAAATCGTCCAGATCTGTTTAACCAATCTGTATATATTTCATACACCTCTTAGTCCTTTAAAGTCATCTCTACAAGCAATTAACTCGCTTGATTTGAAGTTTCTGATATCCGACAATGAAATCCAACAGACAATTAAAATCCAGCTAGTTTATCCCCTATAGAGATGACCATAAAGAGTATCTCCTCTACTAAAGAGTAGAGGAATGTAATGTTTTCTATGATGAAGTGTTGATGCTATAACATGAATTTTCATGGAATACATATATCTAAAGTTGATCTCAGTAGCTCCAACTGAATGCAGCTTTGCCAAAATTTTTTGC